CAAGGCTTTTTTACCACCATTCTGCCTCTGCTATGGTGTTTATTGAAGGCTTCCTCTTGTGGTGTTGTCGGATTCACCTTTGGGGTCAAGAGGTACCTCCTTAGAGGGTAACCACTCTCCCCCAATAACAACCCATTATTACTTTGTTCTAAATGTGTCTGAAAAATGATAGGTTATCATAAAGCAGTTGTTTTCAGATGACATATAGTTTTCTTTAGAAAATTCACAAAAGCTAGATAAAATCAGAAAGAAAAAATATTTTTGTCCTTAATCATTTAGTATGATGTTAGCACAAGCATTTACTAATATAATTAGAAGTCCATTAAGGGTAATGCAGCTTTAATTCATGTCATGAGAAATTGATTGTGAAAAATTTCACCTTTAACCCACAAGCATTGAAAATGGCCGCATCATGCTGTGAACCAGGCCACCTTGAAACAACATCTGTGAATCTACAAGAAGTATATTTATTTGATAAGTAAATCTACATACATCAATTTGATACATTAATCTACAGGAAATATATTGATTTAATAAATTTATCTGAAGTTGTACTTTTTTTTTATAAATTGCCAGTAGTATGCTTCCCTTTTTTCTCCTTAGCATTTTAATGTTATAAAAGTGTATGTTAAGTTCATATTCATTATATTGATTTAAACAGTTGTCAAATGAAAATAAGTTCCTCCTGGGACACTTCTTGGATTAAGAAACTAAATTAGATTCTATTTTATAATTTTTTTGTAATTTAACACAGGACTTGAATGTTTGACATAAAATAGTGTACCTCATTTCAGCATCGACTACTGCCTGAACATTAAGAGCATGGAACCCTTTTCTGCAGACATAAGCTGCCTCATCCTGTGATGGACCCTGAATAGGGATGAGGGTTCCATCTACTGCTCCTACAAAAAAAGAAGCTGAATTGATATTTCTTAGTAAGGATTGTATACAAAAAGTGCCACTTGTGTCTGTAGAAATGATATCAAATGATTTTAAACATAAAACAATGTAACAAGCATTTCCAAAAGCATAATTATTATATTTTAAAACATTGCTTTTAATATATATGTATATATGAAACTAATGTTCAGTAATTAATGATCAATTACCGATTACGTTTGGGATTCTACATTCCTCATAGAATTTCCTCTTCAAATGATGTAATCTTGACCTCTCAGTTGGAAATCTGAAATAAAAGTATAAGTGGTATTTAATTATAGACGTTAAATGAAAAGAGTATATGTACTGATTAAAGAAGTGGTAGGAATAGGGTTTTCCTTTGCTATATGAAACCCCATAAAATATCATATTGCTACCATTATTATCTAATATATAAAACATTATGAACAAGTTAGAGCCATAAGACAGTGAATGCCAACTATTCTTAAAACAAAAAGAGCTGGCATAATGCATTTTTTTTTCAAAGTTCAGAAAGGGCCCTGATTATATCAGACAAAACCCATGTAAGTACACCGGTAAATTATGCACCACATGTTAAATGTATGTGACACACATGTTTTACATATGGTAAAAACATATGGTTTCTTCCAGAAAAGTGCTCCATATGTTTTACATATGATGCAAACACATGTTTTTCATATGGATACACATGAATAACACGTTTTTCATATGGTGGGCCAAGAAAAGGTCACTGTTTGTTACATGTATGATATAGACTTATGTTTTTCACAAAAAATTATCATTTTCATTACAAATGGTAAATTATGTTCCAGAGTTTGGTTTGCTGGAATTCGATAATTCATACAAGTGTTAAGTGTTCAGTACCACGTGTAAGTAAAACTATATATATATATGTATATAATTATGCTTATAAAACAATTTTCAAACATTGATGAATATGTAAAGTATGTACTTCAAATATTTGTCCATACAATATGTAATAATCAAAATATATGCATTTCATTTCTTATTGAAAAATTTGACTCAGACTTAGTAGAAAATAATCTTTTTATCACCTCCCTTTATATACATGAAATATTTTTTTTAAATACTTACAAAATTGATAAATCTTAATTTGAGCATCATTTTTATGATATGATGGTAACTCCCTATGGGTCACCACATTTTGGCTTCTTTCACTAAATAAACACTAAAATATACAAAGGGAGAAAAAAATCATGAATAAAAATGAATGGCACACTATTCTTCCCAGAACCATAAGTTGCACATAGATGCATGAACAAAGGATCTTTTCAGAATTTATGTACAATCATTTAGAATCTAATAGGGACTGTAAAAAGTGTAAAGTTTGCAGAATATATAATACATAGATTTATCATATGAAAAACACACGAAAGTTCACATATATTTTACATAATTATGAAAACTTATTCATATAAAAACATGTGATAACCATGAGTTCAACATATGCTTGTTGACACATGCTTTTCATATGGTCCTGTTTACATATGTTAATCTTTCATATGAAAAACACATGTTTTTAAACACATGTTTTTCAAAACACATGAAACACATATGTTTTACATATGGGGTACCAAACATACAGCAAACATGTGGTGCATATTTACCTGTGATATACAGGGTTGCCTTAGTTTTTTTCAAATAATATATCTAGTAAAAATAGATAAAATTTTGCACAGATTTGTATTGAGCAATAGACTACTGTGTATGAATGTAATCACGAGAATATCAATGAATGCTAATTGACGAAGTGTCTCAGAAATTAAATTGAATTAGATTCAATATAACCCCGTCCTATTATAGAATTTATTATAAGTAAGTAAAATTACTTGTATATGTGTACAGCTCCACATACTCACCTAATATTCTTTAATCGAAGGTTTACACTTCGTATGAATTGGTGAATGTAAATGGCAGCTCTGGCTTTAGACACCCCGTGGAGGTCTCCAACTTCTGATATGAAATCGCCTTTTGCGAGGTATCGAAGTCCAATAAGAACCTGCAATGAAAGAAAGTCGAATTGCTTTATTGATGTGCTTGAAATAAAATTACTTTGATAAAAATATATCTAGATCTTATATGATTTTTACGGTGGCACAAATGTGACATGTGTGTGTTTTTATTTATCTCGTGGCCACGAGATACTATGTCGTGGCCACGAGTTATTAAGTCGTGGCCACGAGATAGCTAAGTCGTGGCCACGAGATACTATGTCGTGGCCACGAGTTACTAAGTCGTGGCCACGAGATACTATGTCGTGGCCACGAGATAGCTAAGTCGTGGCCACGTGATAAATAACCAATTGATCAGATTATACCATTTATGTTACTTTCCCCAATTAACTAGACATGTGCTGTAGTACAAGGATACCCCTACTTCACCAGCCTGTAAAAGTGCAATTTATACAACTTATTGACTTGTCGCTAATTTTACACTTAACGTCACTGTGACTTAGTAACTCATGGCCACGACATAGTATCTCGTGGCCACGACATAGTATCTTGTGGCCACGAGATAAATAAAAACACACACATGTAAAGAAAAAAAAGAAAACTAACAAGTGTTGGCTTTTATTATACATACCTAAAATATGACATTTCTATTCAATGGGCTGTGAAACTCAGAACTTATTAGCTATCATGTAAAGTAATTATTCTTACCTGCTAGTGCTATACTTATGATAAGCTTTAATAATAGACGACATGGACGAGTGCTATGTCATAAATTATTAATCCTTTATCGTTTATTACTGATTTCTCGTAACTTCAGCAACTGTTGATATTGCCAGCCATTAAATGTAAAATGAACAGTGTTTACATTTCATAACAAAACACGTTTGCCCATTTTTACAGGTAATGAAACCGGTTTAAATAATCCTCTTATCATCCTCTGACTACAGTAAGGCTATGCACTCCTTGTTTACGGATCCTAATATCTACAAATTCAGCCAAATTTCTCGAAATTCCTCTCCTCTGACGTATTAAGAATTATTGAATTTGTTAATAACATCACTTTTCCTTTCTTTTACAACGGCATTGTTATCATAGCTCTAATCAAAGCCGTGTTACTGTGGATCTAAGTCTAATTTTTTTGTATGTACACATAACACAGCGCCATGTTTACCCATAATGCTTGGGCTAAAAATAAATCAAGGTTAAGGTCAAACTGCTTAGTAACGAATGTAAACACAATGCAGAGAGTAAATACAGTGAAACTTCGATACATCTACCTTCGTCATGCTGCAAATAGACTGCTATCGACCCGTTTTAGAGGAAAGATCAGCCCGACAGAGCTCCTCCAACTCTTTAATTGCTGCTTTATTCAGTCTGTATCGGGAAATGACTTCTCGATCGGTTAAATAATCAATATTAACCGTTCGTTGCCGAAAACAGCGTGATTTTCGTCGGCGGCGCTCGTTTACAAGTAGTAAGGCGGCCATTTTGTTTGATCTGCGACTGCTTCTCAGCGATCGCAGAGAAAATGCATGATCTTAGGATAATCGTACGATTATGAAAGTCTGCGACGTTTGATAAGACACCGCCAAAATCGTACGATCGACGTACGACAATCGTATAATAAAAACGGTCGTACGACCGTTGATAAGACGGGCCCCGGGTGTGTTAGTGGAAGGTGCGAGAGAAAGTAAAAACCTGAAAATGAACATGATCAGGATAGTGAGAGACATTGAAAACTTCTAGTCATTGTTAAAATATTTTTATTAGTAAGGGTGAAAGAAAGTTTTTAAAGTAAAAACACAACAAGTCAACTAATACTGTATCTTAACCACTGCCTGTTTGTATTGATCTAGATCAGGCAGGGTGACAATGTTCCTTGGGAGCTGGTTCCAAAGTGTGATACAGTGGGGGAAGAAGGAAGGAGAACTTATGGTAGTCTGATGTAACCTGCATTTTCCTAAGGGAGAGGGGATGCATATGTCTAGTAAGCCTAGATGGAGTTTTAATGTAGGTAGGAAGGCTAATGGCTACAAGATTATGGTAATTTTAAAAAAAACATTATAAGTCTAAAGTCTAGTCTGCGATGCTCGAGAGAACGCCAGCCAAGATCTTTCTGCATGGTTGTAACTGATGACAAAGGGGAGTAATCCTGTTTTACCCAGCGTATCGCTCGTCTTTGGACCATCTCTATGTTTGATTGTGTGTTGGGGCTCCAAACAGTTGATGCATATTCTAGCTGGGGTCTTACTAGGGATTTATAAGATAGTTGTTTTACTTTTTCATTTTTTGTATTGATATTTCGTTTTATGAATCCCAGATAAAAAAAAAAAAAAAAAAAAAAAAAAAAAAAAAAAAAAAAAAAAACGTCACGTTCGGTTTAGCGTATAGTTAAACGGACGTTGCGTCATTTGTCATTTTATAAATGTCATTTTTTTCTGAAGAAGACAAAACGTCGAAAGCTTAAGAAAAGCGTTTGTTTGTTTTTGAACTGATTATATATTTGCATTTGATGTAATTCTTGAGATATGTGTGTTGTAGTTTAGGTCTGTGGACAAGTCAAGGCCAAGATATTTTGAGCTAGGAACTGATGTTAAAGCTTGGCCATGAAGGAAGTACTTGTTGTTGATGACTTTTTTGATTTTAGTGGTGTGAAGGACTTGACATTTTGAGGGGTTGAATTCCATGTCCCACTCCCTTTCCAAGATTTGCATGTTATTGAGATCCTCCTGAAGGGATTGTGAGTCTGAGGACGAGTTTATAGTAATGTAAACCACAGTGTCATCAGCAAAGAGGCGAATTTGAGACTTGGAGACAGAAGATGGAAGTTCATTAATGTAGATCAGAAAGCAGAGTGGGCCATGAACGGGGCATTGGGGACGCCAGAGTTGTAGAGTGTTCATCTTCCAGTACAACAGTTTGGCTCCGACCTATCAAGAAGGAACGTGTCCAATTGAGAATTTGTGTGGAGACACCGTTTTCTTGAAGGGTAAGGAGAAGTTTACGATGATTTACTTTATCAAAGGCTTTGCTAAAGTCAAGGAGAATAAGATCTGTTTGTTTCCCTGCTGAGATGTTGTTGACAAGGGAGTCTGTTAGTTCAATAAGCTGTGTTTCACATGAGCGTTTCTCCCTAAAGCCATGTTGAAGGTCGAAGAGAATGTTGTGATTACTGAAGTGTGAAGAGAGATGTGAGGCGACAATGTGTTCGAGCGTTTTGCAAAGGATACATGTTAATGAAATCGGTCGATAATTGGCTGAATCTGTACTGTCACCTTTTTTATAAATAGGGCAAACATAGGCTTTGGTCCAGTCAGAAGGAATTGTACCAGAGGATAAAGATTTTTGAAATAGAATTGTGATGATATCTGTGATTTCATTTCTCAGTTCTTTGAGGACAACCGACCGAACAAGGTCTGGGCCTGCAGCTTTATCTATCTTTAGGTTGGCAAGAAGTTTCAGCACCCCATTTTTGCTGACAGATATGTCATCCATTTGAGGGTATTTACAGTATTTTTTGGGGTCAAGTTAATAAAGTTTTTGCATGTTTTGTCGCGGTTGTTTGTTTTAAGATAGCCTGTTGTTTGGTCTTTGAGAGTTGTTACATTTTGGGAATCTTGTTTGGAGTTTTTTAAGTGAGAGTACAGTTTTTAGTGGAAAATTTAGTTTGGGTGTCTGTGGGATCATTGTCATCAAGTTCTAATATGTAAGATGTTTTGATTTGAGTTTTGATGAGTGCTTTCAATGTTTTGAATTTTTGTCTAAGTTCATGATTTGATTTTTTTTTTTAGTTTTTGGTATAGATGGTCTCTTTTTGTCATGAGTTTTTTAATTGCCTTTGTTATCCAGGGTAGGGATTTTTTTAACCTATTCTTTTTATTGGAACAAATTTAGCAATTCCAGTTTCAATTGTTGATTTAAATTTAGTCTATAGTTCTTCAACTGAAAGTGTATCATTTTTATGTATGATTTCTTGGCTAAATATCTGCATATGATTTTTAAATTCAGGCCAGTTAGCTTTTTTGTAGATTGGGCAGTTTCTTGGTTTTTGTTTGATTATAATTGGTCTTGCGTGTACAGTTGTTGTGATGATGTCATGATCTGATATTCCTGGGATTATTTCTGTTTTGTTGACAAGAGTGTGGTTTGAAATTAAAAAGAGATCTAAAATATTTTTGTGTCTTGTGTTTTCATTTATCATTTGAGTAAGGCTAGTACACCACCTCCTTTTCCGGTTTGTCTATCTTTTCGGTAGACTGTGTACCCTAGGAATGTTGGAAATATTTCACTTGTAAAATGCTCTTTTTTCAGCCAAGACTCTGTTATGGTGACAACATCAGGGTTTTGAGAAAGAATCATACTTTGAAATTCATGCTTTATGTTCACAATAGATTGGCAATTTACAGATAATTTTAATTTTCGAAACATAATTGTGAGTTTGTGGTTTGGATGTTCTAGTGTGGGGGTGTGGGGTCATATATGTATCTGAAAGGCTTGAAAAACTATTTAGTGAGGTAATGGATATTATACTTGAACTGGTGTTGGAATGGTTCAAACTATTACACAAAGTGCATGACCATGCAAAGGATACTTCTGTTTCTGCCATATGTTGATACCAGGTGTTTTCTATGTATTGACATACTCTGTGGAACCAGTTGCCACAGTTATAACAATTGACAGGGATCATCATCAGTGACATTGGAGCCACAGCTTCCACAAGGACAATCAGGGCCTGGGTTACTCTCAACATCGCAGGAGATTGACAGTAGCAGGATGACCAGATGGCTTAAATTCTTATTAGTATATTTTTCATCTTTTGTTTTGTATTTGAATCTTGTATTAAGATTGTTTACGATCAGACTACATGAATACAACTTGGAGGGGGTGTATTTATTTGGTTGGTTAAAAAGTCTGGGATGGAGTAATGTGTTTTCATTTTCTGGACCCTGAGGTACTCCAAAGAGTGTAATTGCACATGCTACAATACTACTGACAGATATGCAGTTAATATAACCGTAGTATCAACCGTTTCTAATTTAATTAATATGCAAATAAATTTACAAATTTCAATAATTTCGAGTAACACTTAATACATTTTGGCAGTCATTTAGATCAGTAAAATCCTTTTTCTCATTTCTGTTATTTTATGTACATGTATCTTACATAATTGCTACATACTTGTCTATAAATGTTTGTCATGTAAACAATATTCGTAGTATTATCGTTGTATTTATGTGTTTTATGTAACAGGAAGTTTCATTTTCAAATAAAAGATTTAGGATATTGATAATCTAGGAGATAAATTCCTGAAAATGGACAAAAGAGATCTACAAATGTGCCAAAATTATAAGTAATTTAGAGAATGAAATTAAGAGTTTCGTATACATGTACATGGAAAGAAATCATATAGTTAAATTTCATGTCTGTAAAAAATAAAAACTATTCAATTCAATTTTATTGTTCTTCTGTGGATTAACTTTCATAGAATTTACAAAACACAAATTAGAAAAAACATCTTAGAGAGATCTTGTAAATCATTTTCATTTTCAGCTATAAATACAATATCATCGGCATACAGTAAAATACTGACAATTTCATTATCTAAAGACAAACCTTTTCCTGTAGCTTTAATCTTAGTGACAAGGTCATTTAAAACAAATTGAACAATAAAGGTGACAACGTAAACCACATGTTTTTTCAAACCATTCTGTATAATGACCATTTATTCTAACACAGGATGATACCATTTTGTATAAGGATATCAAGGCATTAAATATACTCCTACGAATTTTATTATATTATAAATGTCAAATGGGCGCAAGCATTTCTAAATGACAGATAACAGGATCTGTTTTTTTGTGGAAAATTAAAAAAGTGAGTGTAAAAAAACTATTAGTAAAAAAATGTCAATGAAGATTATGATTTCAGATCAGAAATGTTTAATTGCTTTTGGTAATTTGAATGCCGAATCTTGATAAAGTTATGGTGGTATTTTTTATTTTTGTAGAAAAGTGTACCAGCTTTGAATAAAAAACGACTTGAGACATTGAATTTTTGGAATATTAGTTAATATTGTAACTAATTATTACGAATTATTAAGATGCAAGGTTATGCTAATCAAACCGTTTAAAATCAAACATGGCGATAATTACCACCAAGTGTGACTACTTATTTCTTAATTTTTGTACAGAAACTGCTTTGCTTACACCAAGATGAACATTGTTTGTTTATTTGGTATTAACTGAGTAATTGATTTTGTTTTGGAATTTTATATTTTTGTAATTATATGCAATCAATACCAAATATAGTCTACTTAACAAGTAAAAAATAAGATTTGTTTCTGGGCTTAGCCTCATAAGAATACCTTTAGATCGAGTCATCTAATTTACTATTAAACAACAGCAACAAAAACAAGTTAGAACAAAATAACAGATATATGTTTTGTTATTTTATGAAAATGAAAAATACGGTAGGTTTGCTATTATAAGTTATGTGTAAATTGTTGCAAATATGTAAAGAATATAACACTATGTTTCTTTTGTGTATTTGCTTTTTCTATAACTTGGTTCTAAATTATATATGAGAGCCGCTTTCAAATGTTTGTAGTGAAAA